CGCCACTGCACTCCAGCCTGGGCGACAGGGCCAGACTCGGTCTCAAAAAGTAAAATAATAATAATAATAATAATAATAATAATAATAAAATAAGATGGAAAAAGAAATAAGGCAGCAGGTATTAGAAACAAGGTGGTAAGTGTTAGAAATAAGGCAGAGGGAGAAATGGGTGCTCAAACCCTGCCAATGTGGCATCTGGTCTTGCCGCACTCACTTTAGGGTTTTTTGTTTTGTTTTAAGACAGTGTCTTGCTCTGTCACCCAGGCTGGAGTGCAGTGGTGCGATCTTGGTTCACTGCAACCTCCACCTCCCGGGTTCAAGTGATTCTCCTGCCTTAGCCTCCCAGGTAGGACTACAGGTGACCGCACCCTCACCCAGCTAATTTTTTTATTTTTAGTAGAGATGGGGTTTAACCATGTTGGCCCGGCTGGTCTCGAACTCCTGGCCTCAAGTGATCGTCCCGCCTTGGTCTCACAAAGTGCTGGAATTCCAGGCACAAGCCACTGCACTCCGCCCGCTACAGAGCTTTATCAAGTGAGAATCATTGGGCTGAACCTCACAGTGTCTCAAGGACAATGTCACCTGCAGGTGGCAGGGTGTACTAAATGGCTGCTGCCCTGACCCTGGGCAACAGGGAAATGAGTGAGAGGGTTTCAAATCATGCAGAAAGGCCTGGTGCTGTGTGGTTTATGCCTGTAATCCTAGCACTGTGGGAGGTCGAGGCCTGAGGATTGTTTGAGGCCAGGAGTTTGAGACAAGCCTGGGAATCAAAACGAGACCCTGTCTCTAGTCTATAAAATAACAGCGACAACAAAACCATGCCGAGAAATACATTTGCATTCAAAGAGAAACTTAGAGGCCAGGCGAGGTGGCTCATGCCTATAATTCCAGCAGCTTGGGAGGCCGAGGCAAGCAGGTCACAAGGTCAGGAGTTCGAGAACAGCCTGACCAACATGGTGAAACCCCGTCTCTACTAAAAATAAAAAATTAGCCAGGCGTGGTGGTGCACGCCTGTAGTCCCAGTTACTCGAAAGGCTGAGGCAGGAGAATCGCTTGAAACCGGGAGGCAGAGGTTGCAGTGAGCCAAGATCGCACCACTGCACTCCAGCCTGGGTGGTAGAAAACAAACGAACAAACAAACAAACAAACAAAAAATCTTAGACAACATGAAATTACAGGCAGCAGTTATCCCTGGGGATGCGAACGGTGTTAATTTTTCTTCCTCCAGTTTTTTCTCTTTCCTGCAATTTGGGGCAGCAAGGGATTCTCACTTTGTGAATGTGGAGAGTCCATCATTTACAAAGAAAACATCCATCAGTCTTTCTCTCCTTCCAATTCGTCTGGTTGGTTTGGTTCTGATTGCAGAAAATCCCCCACAGCCTCAGGTGAGATTCTCAGTGGAGCAGCTGGGCCGGGATGGGAGGAGGCGGCTGACCCTGAAAGAGCAGGTAACGGGGCTATCACAGGGCTGTGGGGTGGCCTGGGATGGGGAGCAGGAGGCAAAAGGCTGGAGGCTGATGAGCAAGTGGGAGATGGAGGGGGAAGAGAAGTAGAGGTGGCAGTGAGTGGGCAGATTGTGGGTTTAACTCCGAAGGTCATAGGGAGCCATGGAGTGTGTGTGAGCAGGGGAGGGACATGACTGGACTCAGATGTTCACAAGCTTTCCCTGGCTCCTGTGTGAGAAACAGAGTGTGTGGGAATTGCACAGAAGCCAGAAGGCCAGGAAGGAGACAATGATGACTGCATTTGCCTTGGTAGCAGGTTATTGCTTTAAGTCCCAAAACAGGCTGGGGGTGGTGGCTCACGCCTGTAATCCCAGCACTTTGGGAGGCCGAGGCGGGCGGATCATGAGGTCAGGAGATCGAGACCATCCTGGCAAACACGGTGAAACCCCGTCTCTACTAAAAATACAAAAAAAAAAAATTAGCCGGGCATGGTGGGGGGCGCCTGTAGTCCCAGCTTCTCGGGAGGCTGAGGCATGAGAATGGCGTGAACCCCGGAGGCGGCGGAGCTTGCAGTGAGCTGAGATTGCGCCACTGCACTCCAACCTGGGCGACAGAGTGAGACTCTGTCTCAAAAAAAAAAAAAAAAAAAAGTCCCAAAACAACCCATTAAGTGCAGTCTGATTAGCCCCATTTTACAGACAGGGAAACTGAGGCACAGAGGGACTATTTCTGTTGAGACAAAACTGGCAAATATTCCACTCATTGACTTTACCATAGTCGTCTTAGCCAGGTCCCTAATGGGCTGTTACTATAAGGCTGTAGCAAAAATCCTTTACTTCCTATGTTCCTCTAACTCAAATTCCTTTCCTAAGGAAAAATGTTCTGCTTGAGGTAACTGGGTTAAAAGATGGAAACATTTTTTTTTCCTGAATGTCAGTGGGTTTTGTCAATTTCTCACTTCCCCCAAGCTAGATGTGTGCGGGCGGTGAATGGCTGTCTCACAGCAGCTTTGCCAGCATTGAGGTTTATTATTTTTTTAATTTTTGATGCGTGTTATCGACTGTGGCCTTTGGCCAAGTCTGTCCTCATAGGCTGTGTCCTGCTGTCTCCCTATGGGATGATGAATGTGATCAGGTTCCTACAAGCTGTCTTTCATACTCCTGACAGCCAACCCAGCTGGAGCTTCCAGAAGGCTGTCAAGGGCCAGCACCTGGAGCGGAGGTCACCTACCAACTGCAGCTCCACATGCTGTCCTGCCCGTGTAAAGCCAAGGCCACCAGGACCCTGCCCCTGGAGAAAACGCCCTATCTCTCGGGTGCTGCCTACAATGTGGCTGTCATCTCCTCGAACCGATTTGGTCCTGGCCCAAACCAGACGTGGCACATTCCTGCTGACACCCACACAGGTGCCTCCTCTGGGTGGGGAGGGTGGTATGAGGGCCCCTCAGAGCTGAGCACCTACTCTGAGGCTCAGCTAGACCAGGGTGAGAGGAGTGAAGCAGAAAATTTTAAAGCAGTGCCTAATTTAGGGGTATATCAAAAATTCAGTAATCAGCCGAGTGCAGTGGCTCATGCCTGTAATCCCCATGCTTTCGGAGGCCAAGGCAGGCGGATCATTTTTAGTAGAGATGGGGTTTCACCACGTTGGCCAGGCTGATCTTGAACTCCTGACCTCAGGTGATCTGCCTGCCTTGGCCTCCCAAAGCACTGGGACTACAGGCGTGAGCCACCATGCCAGCCTAATTTTTGTATTAAAAAGTAGAGATGGAGTTTCACCATGTTGCCCAGGCTGGTGATCCACCTGCCTCAGCCTCTCAAAGTGCTGGGATTACAGATATGAGCCACCGTGACCGACCTACTATTATTATTATTTTTGAGCTAGGTTCTCAGTCTGTTGGCAGACTAGAGTGCAATCATGGCTCACTGCAGCCATGAACTCCCAGACTCAAGTGATCCTTCCGCCTCAGCCTCCAGAGTAGCTGGGACTACAGACGTGCACCACCACACCTGGTTAATTTTTAATTTTTATTTTTTGTAGAGACAGGTCTCCCTATGTTGCCCAGGCTGGTCTCGAACTCCTGGGCTCAAGCGATCCACCCATCTCCACCTCCCAAAGTGCTAGGATTACAGGTGTGAGCTGCCACACCCAGCCTGGTCCCATATCATAGTGAAATGGTGCCTGTAAAATTCTCAGCATTGGCTTGGCACTTGCAGTCGGTACTCAATAAACGGCTGTTGCTATCCCCAGAATTGCAAGCAGTATCCGTCTCTGACATTCGTGCAGACACCCTGGCGGGAGGGAGTGGGAGAGATTTGCCCAGGGACTGAGTGGGTGTGTGCTCGTGCTTCTGAGTTTGGCATGAGACCACCAGTGGGGCCAGTCAGGCCGGGGAGCCTGGTCTTGCATGTCACTCTCCGCCCAGGCGAGGCAAGCGGTAGGCGGCCAGGTATCTGCCGCAGCCGGAGACGCCTACAAGGCTGGAGGTGGGTGTAATGGCAGTACAGGAAGCCCTCATGGTGAATATCCTGGCAAGGAGACAGCAGTTAGGCTGGAGGAGGACTCAGCTCATTCAAACACCATCTGCTGACTGGATGCGGCGGATCACGCCTGTATCCCAGCACTTTGGGAGGCCAAGGCAGGTGGATCACTGGAGGTCAGGAGTTTGAGACCAGCCTGGGCAACATGGTGAAACCCCGCCTCCACCAAAAAAAAAAAAAAAAAAAAAAAATTAGCCGGGCATGGTGGCACATGCCTGTAGTCCCAGCTACTCACGAGGCTGAGGCAGGAGAGTCGTTTGAACCCGGGAGGAGGAGGTTGCAGGGAGCTGAGATCATGCCACTGCACTCCAGCCTGGGCGACAGAGCAAGACTCCGTCTCCAAAGAAAAAAAACAAAAAAAACAAATGCCATCTGCTACCCTCTTTGTGCGTGACTCCCCAGGCAGCCTCCAGTGCAGGGAAACAGCCAAACACAGACACCCTGGCCTATAGGGTCAGAGGTATAGACGAAAGGGTGGGAGAGAGGCTGCAGGAGCCAGAGAAGGGGGCTGGGGAGAGGGACGGCAACTGTCTGATGGGTCTCTCCCCTCTCCTTCCAGAACCAGTGGCTCTGAATATCAGCGTCGGAACCAACGGAACCACTATGTATTGGCCAGCCCGGGCTCAGGGCACGACGTACTGCATTGAATGGCAGCCCGTGGGCCAGGAAGGAAGCCTTGCCACCTGCAACCTGACTGCGCCGCAAGACCCGGATCCAGCTGGAATGGGTAATGGCCTGGAATGGCCTGCCTCTGCTCCTCCTCTGTGCCCTCCCTTTTAGCTCCTGGTGGGTTCAAACCTGCAGGGAAGGCACATAGCGGGTGTCTAAGGCCCAGAGAGGTGTTACTGCTTACTCGAGGTCACACAGAGGTAGGGACAGGGTGAGGTTTGGAGCCTCTCACCCATATGGGTCTGGAACCTCCTGCTGGCATCCTGAGCTCAGTTCCAGGCAGATCGCACACCTGCAGGTAATGAATCTCACATCCTAAGGTGTTTGTTAAATATTCAACTGTGCCAGGGAAGGTGGCAGTTCGTGAGATGCTGGTGGCAAATTAATGAGTCTTTAGGGAAAGAGGGGACTGTGAGGCTCAGGTAGCCTCTCACTCTCCTGCTTCCTGCTCTGGGCCTTGCCAGAGCCCCAGAAAGCCTCAACCTCAGCCTGTTCCTTGAGGAATTCACAGCCTGAGGAGACAGAACTGGACACGGAACCCCTGACCCCACTGGCCTGGCAAGGTGGCTAACGCCTGTAATCCCAGCACTTTGGGAGGCTGAGACAGGTGGATCACCTGAGGTCAGGAGTTCGAGACCAGCCTGGCCAACATGGAGAAACCCTGTCTCTACTAAAAATATAAAAATTAGGCAGGCATGGTGGTGCACATCTATAATCCCAGCTGCTCAGGAGGCTGAGGCAGGAGAATACCTTGAACCCGGGAGGTGGAGATTGCAGTGAGTCAAGATCGCGCTATTGCACTCAAGCCTGGGTAACAGAGCAAAACTCCGCCTCAAAAAAAAAAAAAAAAAAAAAAAAAGAAGCCCTGGTTCCATGGAGTAAGGGCTGGGTTAGAGGAGGATGGGGATGGGGTTGGGGGCATTGCACAGAGAGGAGATCTTGGAGGAGGGGATATTGGTGCAAGGGCTTTGAAGCATGAGTAGGAGTTTTCTGGGGGTTCCCGGCAGCTGGCACAGCCAATGCAAAGGTGCAGAGGTGGGAACACAATCTACTGAATGGCCTGGTCTTTGCTTATCCTTCCAGCAACCTACAGCTGGAGTCGAGAGTCTGGGGCAATGGGGCAGGAAAAGTGTTACCACATTACTATCTTTGCCTCTGCGCACCCAAAGAAGCTCACCTTGTGGTCTACGGTCCTGTCCACCTACCACTTTGGGGGCAATGGTAAGTGACCCAAACCTGCAGGTTTACATTATTTTTTCTTTTTAAATAATAA